TCTTCTAGGTAACTCTGCTGCAATAGCTGATCACCTTTATTTTACAAATAAGATCATAATTAGAATGGGGGAGACTAAGAGAACTCTTTTCCTGATAACTTAGAAAACGAGGGGGGAAGCGTAACATGTCTGGATAATATTCATTAGCTTATACAATACTAGAATGCAAAATGTGGATGATTAAAAACAATCAAATAAATGTGATCCCATCTAATACTTAAGGCAAAGGTGCTGTGTGCAAGTGTTGCGTACCTATTTGTGAGAAATGGGAGAAGAAGAGCTGGGCGCCTAGGCGCTGGCCATGCTGCATGGAAGCAGAAACATGGCGCCTAGGCGCCCCCGATACCGAAAGGGAGGCAGGAACATGGCGCCTAGGCGCCCCGGATTGAGCTATATATATCAGATTTTTTCCCTTCTAGCAAAGGACCCGATTTTGAGAGAGAAAAATAGAGAGGGCTTGGATAGAATTTATCAAGTAAGAGTTTGTTCTTCTTGGGTATAAATTCAAAGCCATTTTTCTTTCTTTGGGATTAACTTGAGGCTTGTTTAAGTAATCCAATCCATTGTTCTTCATATATATTGAAAAATCATTTCTTCCCCAATTTCTTATCTTTTCAAGTGGTTTGAAATTTTTTCACATTTCAAGTTTGTTGGATCTTGGGCATCTTTGGAAGAGTGTCTTCCCAACAATTTGGTATCAGAGCATCTTCTTAAATCAGGGTGGTTAAGCTCTGATTTTTGGTGGGTTGGCTTGAACTTTGTTGTGCACACAAGGTGTTTGTGAAAATTCCCAAGTGAACTTTGTTGGCTTATTTCCAGTAAACAAGTAGATAAATCATGTCTACTAGAGGAACGGTGAAGATTGGGGAGTATGAGATAGAGAAATTCAATGGCAAGAATGATTTCTCATATTGGAGAATGCAAAGGAAAAATTTATTAATTTCTCAAAAGTTGCACAAGGCATTGGCGGGAAAGGAGAAGAAGCATATAGATATGTCTGACGAGGATTGGGAAGAGCTAGATCTTGAGGCACGAGCGTTTATCATTCTATACCTTGAAAGAGACGTTGCTTTCTTGGTTGATGGTGAGGAAACGGCGGCGGAGGTGTGGACAAAGTTGGAGACGAACTTTATGATGAAGACTCTAACTAATCGGATCTATTTGAAATCCAAATTGTATACTTGCAAGATGGATGAAGGTACACCAATCCGGGAGTACATCAACAAGTTTGATAGGTGCATATCGGACTTGAAGGACATTGATGTGAAAGTAGATGATGAGGATCAAGCACTTCTACTACTTCTTTCATTGCCAAAGTTTTACGAGAACTTAGTACAAACATTGATGCTTGTGGGTGATAAACTTGTGATGGAGGACACTAGAATGTCACTTCTAGTGGATGATTTTCGAAAGATTGCAACTAGTGGCATGCCTACCATTGGTAATAAAGAGCAAGCGCAAGGATTGTTTGTAAGAGGTAGAAGCAATGTGCGACCAAAGGGCAAGGGAGAAAAATCTAGATCGAGTTCTAGACCTCTTGCGAAAAGGCCTTGTTTCAAACGCGGCGAGCTTGGGCATTTCAAGGCGAATTGTACTAACAAAAGGGGTTCGAAGAAGAACAATAAGAAAAATAACAACGGGAAGGTGCAAGTCAAGTAAGAGGTTAGCTATGCCTCGGAAGGAGGGGAAAGCGATGAGTGCTACACCATCTCTTGTGATGAAGAAATCTTGGTAAGTGGATTCTTGACTCTGGATGCTCTTACCGTATGTGTCCAAATAGGAAGTGGTTTACTACCTATAGAAGCACTGATGGTAGAACCGTGTTGATGGGTAATAACCATTCTTGTAAAACGGTGGGGCTCGGTTCAATTAGAATCAAGATGCATGATAGAGTGGTTAGAACATTGATGGATGTTAGACATGTTCCTGATTTGTGGAAGAACCTTATCTCTGTTGGTGCCATAGACTCCGGTGGTTGCAAGATTGTAACATGGAATGGAGTAAATAAGGTTGTTCGTGGTTCTTTGATTGTGATGAAGGGTATTCGTGAAGGCAATCTCTATGCTCTTCAGGATACTACAGTTACAGAAGATGTAGCGGTTGGAACAAGTGGAAGTGGTGGAGACCCATGTGAGTGCACTCAGCTATGGCATATGAGGCTTGGGCATATGTCTGAAAAGGGGCTAGATCTGCTAGTCAAGAAAGGTTTGCTAAAGAACTTGAAGAAGCCTTACATGGATTTTTGCGAGCATTGCGTGTACGGTAAAGCACACCGAGTTCAGTTCTAGCCAAGCAAACATAGAAGAAGAGACATTCTAGACTATGTGTACACGGATGTATGGGGTCCTGCTTTTGTCACTTCCAAAGGCGGTTCCAGGTATTTTGTTACATTTGTTGATGATTATTCTAGATATGCTTGGATTTATTTTTGAAGCATAAGAATGAGGTATTCGACACTTTCAAGAAGTGGAAAGCAATGATTGAAAACAGAATAGGAAAAAAATTGAAGACACTATGATCTGATAACGGTACTGAGTATACAGATATTGCTTTCAAGGAGTTCTGTGGTAAGGAAGGCATTGCGAGATACTGGACAGTTAGAAATACATCGCAACAGAATGGGGTGGCGAAAAGACTGAATCGTACATTTCGAGAGAAATCGACGTGTATGCGATCCTATGCTGGTTTGGGTAGAGAATGGTGGGTAGAGTCGGTTGCAAATGCTTGCTACATAGTGAACTGGTCTCCACATTCAAGGTTAAATGGAGATGTACCTTACAGGGTATTGACAGGAGAACATGCAGATTATGAGAAACTCAGAATATTCGGATGCACAGCCTACTATCACGTCAACGAGGGAAAGCTTGATGCGAAGACCAAGAAGGCTATATTCTTGGGGTATGCGGCAGGTGTAAAAGGCTATCGCATATGGTGTGTAGAGTATTCTAAGTTCATAATCAGCAGAGATGTTACTTTTGATGAGAACTCCATGATAGCTTCGTGGAAAGCTACAGTGCCCGGTGGTGATGATGTTGAGACTACAAAGTCTCAAGTTGTTGAAATAGAACCTAGAGATCAACCTGGTTCTAGGCATGTTCAAGAGGAACATCATGCAGACACTCAATATGAGAGTGATGATGGGCTTGAACAAGAGGCGGTTCAGCAAGAGAATGTACAGGCACAGCAACAACAGTAGCTTGCAGATAACTTAGCTTTTTCTAGGCCACGGCGTACTTACAAGCAGGTTCTAAAGTTGGGGTCAGACAAGCCTTTGAGGTACTATAGGTAGACAAATTTGGTTGAGTATGCACTCTCGGTGGAGGATGATGAGCCTACCACTTTCAAGGAAGCTATTTTAAACAACAATAATGAGAGTTGGTTGGTAGCGATGGAAGAAGAGATGGAATCACTTCACAAGAACCAAACATGGGAGGTTGTCCCATTGCCCATAGGTAAGAAAGCTATTGGTTGCAAGTGATTGTACAAAAAGAAAGAGGATCCTACCAAGCTCGGTGGTACAAGATTCAAAGCAAGGTTAGTGACTAAGGGGTTTGCACAAAGAGAGGGAGTTGACTACAATGAGATCTTTTCTCCGGTGGCCAAGCATACTTCCATTCAGGTGCTATTGAGTATTGTTGCTCATCATGATCTTGAGTTGGAACAACTCGATGTCAAAACCGTCTTCTTGCACGGGGACTTGGATGAGAACATCTATATGCATTAACCTGAGGGCTACAAGGTTGAGGATAAGTGGGTTTGTGGACTCGAAGTATATAGGTGATCTAGACAGACGACGATCTACTACTGGATATGTGTTTTGCATACATGGTACCCCAGTTAGTTGGCGATCGATGTTACAAGCTACAACGGCCCTTTCTACTACAGAGGCCGAGTATATGGCCATGGTAGAGGGAGTGAAGGAAGCATTGTGGTTATAGGGTCTTCTAGATGATTTGGGAATTGAGCAGGATTGTGTGGACTTGTGGTGTGATAGCCAGAGTGCGATTCATTTGGCTAAGAATTAGGTTCATCATGCTCGAACCAAGCATATCGACGTCAGGTATCATTTTGTGCGTGATGTCATAGAGGAAGGTGATATTTCTCTCTTGAAGGTACACACAAATGAGAACCCAGCAGACATGTTAACCAAAGTGGTAATGGGTAGCAAGTTTCAGCATTGCTTGGACTTGCTTCACATTAGTCCGTGCTGATATGCTTGTGTGGGCATGGCCCTTCGGGGCGGGGTTGAAATGAGGTGAAGAATATATGAAGGTGGAGGTGAACTACGGAGGCTTGATCCTGAGTTTTGGGTACATAGGCAACCATGGTTTGAATGGTGCAGTCGAGTTTGGCGCTTGCTGCTTTTTCTTTTGTTCGTCCAAAATTTGACGTCTATCAAATGATGTACGAGGTGGAGAATTGTGAGAAATGGGAGAAGAAGAGCTGGGCGCCTAAGCGCTGGCCATGCTGCATGGAAGCAGAAACATGGCGCCTAGGCACCACTCATGGGTGCCTAGGCGCCCCGATACCGAAAGGGAGGTAGGAACATGGCGCCTAGGCGCCTCGATGTAGATCCAAAGCAGCAACATGGCGCCTAGGCGCCCCGGATTGAGCTATATATATCAGATTTTTCCCCTTCCAGCAAAGGACCTGATTTTGAGAGAGAAAAATAGAGAGGGCTTGGATAGAATTTGTCAAGTAAGAGTTTGTTCTTCTTGGGTATAAATTCAAAGCCATTTTTCTTTCTTTGGGATTAACTTGAGGCTTGTTCAAGTAATCCAATCCATTGTTCTTCATATATATTGAAAAAACATTTCTTCCCCAATTTCTTATCTTTTCAAGTGGTTTGAGATTTTTTCACATTTCAAGTTTGTTGGATCTTGGGCATCTTTGGAAGAGTGTCTTCCCAAAACTATTTATCAAAATTGTGCACATATTATGCCCTTCATTAAAACTGCTAATATTTATGCGATAAATTCTAATTAGTTAAGGATGATTTTCTACTTGTTTCCAAGTTTGGCATGTAGTTCCATGATACAATCCTCTTCCTCTTTGCTGTAGTTCCCCGGTTTCACTCCAGGCTTGAGATAATTCACCCACCGCTGTCTGCAACTCTTCCCACATCTTGCTATACCTGAAAGATATGCAACCCCTTTATCAATACTAATTATGGGTAATCATATGATAAGATTAAATTTCAGTTCTATCTATAATGTTCATGAGATATTGAATATTTTGAATGAGTGTAACCATATATAATCCGATCAGATTTTTTAAGAAATAGCTGCTATAATACTCGTACACTCACTAAATTTGAATTCTAGAGGTAGAGGATTATATCATTGGAAGCTTTTAAGAAAGGATAGTATTCATAAATTATTTGCATATGTCCGGCACATGTTTACAATCTTTCTTTCTTTCTTTCATTTTCTTTTTAAATAAAAATACTCAACTCACTTTTTACCCGCAAGGATCAACAAGTACTACTAACTATTTATAAATAACTCTTTTATTATTATTATTAATTTAAACCGTTCCAATAAGGAGTTTGACGGAAATTAAACTGCTCCAAGAGGTGCAATTGTTTCCATTGAAGATTTCAGAAACAATCAGTGCATTAGGATTGTTACTAGGATGTAGATAATAATGACAGGTTAGATCATCAGCAGAATTGAAAAGAGAATTGATTGAGCTTGACATGCTTCAAGTGAATTGTTGATGAATAAAGGGAAGAATTTATGATAGCTCTGATGCCATGAAAAGTTCATCAACTCAGGTTACATTGAACCCAGCAACTATACATGCAGAAACTCAGAAATAAAAGGCAAAAACTGATGAAGAAGCAGAAGAAGAACTTCATTACTTAGAACTTGAGAACTTTGTAAGAACTTTGTGAGTTACATTCAACCATCTATAGACATACCAGCTGGTTCAATTAATTGACAAACTAACTTTCTAATTGACTAACTAACAGAACTAACTAATTAACTGAGTTAACTGAATTTTCAACTTCTTCTGCTAGTTTTCGATTTGCTTTTGCTGTACTGTAAGAACCAGTATATTTACCAAGGCATTCTATTCAAGTCCCTATGAAACCAGTATTCCATAAATTTTAGGTAGAAGTCATCAAATTTGAAAAGAGTTAAAAAAATTGTATATCTGACCTTATAACCTTCTGGAGAAGAAGTAAGGACACAGACTGTACAAATCAGAGAGGAAAGCTGTCACTCCTCAGGATTAGTCAGGTGAAACTCAGACACCTGAGTCACCAAAAAAAGGACGCAGACTATAAGAAAACCATGACTTATAACCTGCAAAGTGTGAACCCGTGTGACTCCAAAGTCCAATCACTGATTCACCATATTTTGAAAGAAGAAGAAGAAGAAGAACAGATTGAAGAAGCAATATTTGGTAATCAATCTCTCTTAATCTTATATTTGTGTTTTGATAGTTATTTATGCAGATGGCAAGATTAGATATGGTTGTTGGATTCAAGAACTGTGTGAATGAATTCTGATTGTTGTAGCATCCAGACTAAAACAGACATTAAGATTGCCAAAACATCAGAAACTTAATCTAGTTATAAAATGACATATATACATCAACTTTATATCACAGTTATCAAAAAATAATTATCTGCTCCAATATCTATGCAATCTACTCCATATCAACGCAATTAATCTACTCCTCCTTTTTGTCACAAAGGGCCAAAGAAAAGCTAAAGCAACAAAACGAACTAAGAAGCATCATCTCCAGCACTGGAAGAATCAGAACCACTCTCAGCACTCGTGCTCTCCTCCAAATGATCTCGAATCCAGCGCAACTGACGCTGACAGACAGCAAGAGCACGGCGAAACGTAGACATCTCGACTGACTGACGCTCCGAAGCAGCACGTAACTGCGTGATCTCAGCTATCATACGAGCCTACTGCTCGATCAGTGTAGACATCTGACCCAGAATCGGCACCATGGGGTCAATGGACAACGTAGCCACCCCAGGAACAGAAGTAGACGTCGAAGGACGGGAGGAGCTGAGCGGAATAGCCAAAGGAGGAGTGGGACGAGATGGAAGGAATACCCGAGAACCCCCAGTAAGTATATCAAAAATAGGATCGAGAGGCTCAGAACAATCAAAAGCATCAACAGCTGCAGCCGCCACTGTAGCCTGAGCAGAAGAAGAGGAAGACGGAATATGGGAACGACTCTGATGAATAGTCTGCTGTCCAATCGGACGTCCTATGCGACGAGTCGAACCCTCAGGGAATGAAGCACCCAAAAATAAAGCAACCCTATAAATCAAGCAGGCATAAGGTAACCCGATCCGACCCCCCAGAGTACGAAACGAAGCCAAAATCTGCTGGCAAACAAAGCTGGGTAGGTCAATCGAGTCCCCGCGAAGGAAGACATAGAGAAAGCGGGCCCGCCCCATGGGTAAGGAAGAAGTATGGGCTACGGGCCATAGGTTTGTGCACACAATACGCAACAAAACCTGACGATCAGTGGGAAGAGAACCCGTGGCCATCGCCGTAGGCCCCCCGACAGACGGCGTGTTCAAAATCGTCGACCGAACAAGAGAGTCGACCGGAACAGCAGAGGGTAAAATATAGGGGTACGTAGGATGGGAAATCTCTTGTATACCTAAGGCCTGAGCTACGGCAGAAGGTGTAACCCTAAAAGAATGACCCCGCAAAAATACCCTAAAGGACGACCCGTCAATATCGTGGATATTCGCATAGAATTCCTGAACTAGGAGAGGGGGTGGAGGTGATAGACCAACAAGCAAAGGCTCCCAACCCCGAGACACTAAGAGGGCAGCTATATCTATGGTAAGGTCAGACAAAATTATCTCACGCTCCACGAGAACGGGGCGTAAGGAGAACTGGGAAGTGAAGACCTCCTGGGCTGTAGCAGAAATGAACCTTGATCGACTGTAAGAGGTCGAACCACTAGTCGGCTGGGAAGAGGGATGTGATCGCTTACGGGCCATCTGGCACACGTAAAGAGGCAAGAAATGAGTCACATGAAAAATGCACACGAAACGATGCAACGTGTCATGACACACCGTGCACACAAATGAGGCACAAAAGTGATACATCGAAAAACGTGATCGACCCTAAGAGCAAAGTCATCACGACTGGAAACCCAACGAAGAATATTCGTAAAGCCACAACGAAGCAAAAGTAGAATGAGAAAAATACCCAAACAACCCTAAGAAAACAAGAAAATATCTAGGGCATTGCATCGAACACGTGGCGTGCGTCACTTCGGCACGAATTCCCAAGCACACACGAGACACACCTACGTAACCAAGCACAACTCCACAAACTAGGCAACATGCTCTTCAAAATGAAACAAACCACATGCAAATCGGAGTTACGGAATGCAAGAACGAAGTCGACGAACATGGAAGAAAAAACAAGAAACACACTTAAAATAACCAACAAAGAATCACACAATGCGAGCTAAACTTTGAATAAAAGTGCGAGAAATGGCAATCCATGAATCAAAGAGATGCAAGAGGCGCAGAATCCATAAGAATTAAGCAATGATGCTCACAAAACCGAACAAACATGCAGAAAATGCAAAAACACAAAAAAAACGAAGAAACAACAAGAAAAACCACCTCAAATGATGTTCAAGATGGAATTTTGATGTTGAAATCGGGTGTAAGTGCTTCGAATCGATCAATTATCAAGAGTATTTGAAGAAATTGCAACAAAAAAGAAGAAATGTATGTAAATGTAGGGAGAAAAATGAAAAAATAATGCGCGAAATGAAGAATCAGAATTCAAATACCCACACTGTCGCTCGAGCGAGACAACAGCGAGACTCGAGCGAAAACAACACTGTTATTTTTGCTCGAGGGAACGGCACGCGAGCCTCGAGCCAAAACTCAAATTTCAAAAATAGCACCACAATTTTGAATTTTTTTTTTAAAAAAAATGGCAGAACTCTTAGAAATTACAAAATTAACCCCGAATTTCAAAATTTTGAAATGTGGAATGAAACGAAGTATGTAACCAAATATGCAATCGAGCTCAACAATAAGCATAAAGTCACAAACCCAATAATCAGCATATATACAAAATGTAAGTCCACACAGAGATCAAATTACCATGGAGTAAAGTGTATACAGACCAACACCGGGAAGAGTGCCACGTAGTCCATGCAA